AATATAATATATAAATGGTTTGTAAACAGTTCATCCATATAGTTTCACTGCTAAATATTACACGTTGTTGGTTTTCATTCCATAAAAACATCTGATTTCCAATTAATCTTAATTGTTTGCATTCAGATTGTTAAAATTTACCCTGCTTTATTTTATTAAATGACTTCAGATAACATAGTTTTAATAAAAGTGAAGGTAAGTTAAGTCAGGGTACAGTTTACTTTTTAAGGGAGTTAATTCAACCCAGATATGTGATTTTTGAACATACAAGCAGGGAATATTTTGTTAGAAAAGGTGTCAATGGATAAAAAATATACACATTCATATACACAGTAAGATTCTGCATTCAATTCCTCCAACTTTCAAACATTTATATAATTTGCAATAACAAATTTCCCCCTTCCCAATCTGTTCAAACATGACATTCCCAGCAAATGTATCCAATATTGTAACAACTATGTATCTTATTTACAATAAAACTATCTATTAATATTCTACTTAAACACTATATATAAATACTTCATGTGAATATATATAATATTTTGTGCTATTTACAGCTCTTATAATAACATTATATGTTATGTGGAAATTCATTTTTTAGCAATGTTGTGGTAAAATTCAACAGTCATCTATTTAAGACAAGTGTTCGCTACTTTCATAACAGCAGAATTGTCAAGGTGCACTAACTACATGTATGAAGGTGTTATCTGTACATAAATAAGCAGTTTTAGAAACCACATAAAAAACTAATTAGGAATGATTTACAGTGTCATTTTAAGATTTTGCATGAGGTACTCTAAGATATGAAGGCTACTAATCTGTTGTGGATTTGACTCAGTTCAAAGTTATGTACAGGAATTAACAAAGATCAAAGTTAGGGTTGCCACCTCAAAGATTTTACGACTAAATATATGAAAATTCACTCAGAAATTCAGAGAAAATATGACCCCTATTTTCCTTCAAATGCTCCAGTCTATATAATGAGACTTGAGGCAATTACATACCAATAAATTTACACTTTTTTTTAACTATTTCCATGAATACTGTATTGGATATAATCTTAAATATCATATATAATTCAAGGAGATAAGAATTAATTAACAAATAAGAAGCAGCAGATATCTCATTTAGCTTGCAAGGTGGTACAGGAACAACAGGAATGACTTGACGCCACTTCTTATTGGCAAGTAACTTCTGATGTAAATTAAGCAACAGTTAACAAAAAGGTCTACCAACTGTAACCATCCCATACAAAATTTCACATCTTCATCTCAAGTGATCAAACTGTTATTGTAACAAAACTGAAAGATTTGTACATATTTCTCACAGCCATGATATTATTTTACATTGTAACTGCAATATACATAAAATTTAAAATATTTATGACCTTGTCAATAAGTCTGTGAAACTTAAAACTGTGAAAATCTGGAGATACTTCAGTTCTGATGAAATATGGCCTGACTCCAAAGAGATGAAATTCAATTTCCAGACTCTCCTACCCAAATATATAGAGATGGCAACTCCTAACTGGAAGAAATTTGTATAATAATTATGAAAATAGAAATAATCTGGTTATGGTTAATCAATATGTAAGAATTTCAAAACCACATAAGTTAATGGATTTTTACATATATGAGTCCAATATTTTAATAATTCAATTGAAGACAAAGGGGGAAAAAAAAACAGGTGAATCTCATCACATGCACTTTTGTATCTCAATCTTCATATACTTCATATTTTTATTTCAGCATCTTGAAAAGCATTTATGTTCTATTATCAGAAGTTGAAAACAGCAACTTTCATCAAGAGCAGCTTTCAGTGCCCCCTTCAGCTTCAGTTGGAGAACTTGTCAAACTTGAAGAAAGTCATGTGGAATGACCCACACCTTCTTCTATGTCATCTCAGTCATCCAACACTGATGAACCAGCTGCCTTATGCAAGGTCTAGCCTCAGCCATTCTTAATATCTATTGGTTTTGAATTTACATACTATTTTAATATTTTCATTTGTTTTATGTGTTCTGTACAATTATGTACTGCTCTTACATCTTAGTATATATGAAGCTTAAGTGCATTAATGTTTAATTTATTCTTATATGATCAAAACCTTGAGCATTCAGGAACAAATCCATATTAATACATCTTAAATATTTTACATTTTACGCGCTTTTGATCCATGAAGTGATTTTCAGGAATCCAGCCCCCTGTGTAAAATGAGATTCATCTGTCCATACATTAAAAAATAAAACTTCCTCATATCAATTCAAAATTGACATTTTCCATGATCAAATTAGCACTTAGATAAAAAAGGAATTTCACCATGAGTTCATTAATTCTTTTGTCACAGCTTTGTAGTATATTTGTAGTATTAAATTGACAATTAGAGTTTGAGATCAACAATCAACATATTTAAAATACCTTTCATTAAGATACATTTTTTCTTGCAATGAAAATATTCACAATATCTGAGTCATAAAGATCCACACAATCTTACACATATATACTCACACACAATCCCATGCAAATGTACACACATCTGGCATTTCACTTCTAAACTTCAATGTGCAATGAAAGTACTATAGTCTGAATGAAATATATTCTGTATTAAGAGCATAAGTTATGTCTACATTAAGTTACGAGCCTTTTTCTTCCTAAGTGTTTACAGTGATTTAAAGTTACTAAGTTGGAAGCAACTTGGATGTATGCATTATTTCAGATTGTGCCAGGGGACTTTCGTTAAGTTAAAAGAGTCCATTATATTTGTATTTAAATTGCATATCAGTTAATCATCAAGCACCTAATTTAACCCTTTCCTAAAACAGTTTAAACAGACTGTAACCTCTAATTTCACTTTAATTTTATGAACAAAATACACATTTATTTTATATAATTCTATATTTTGGTCAATAACTTTGGAACTGCAGCCAATATGTGAAAGGACACAGTTTCTTTATGCCATACAATCTATCAGGGAACCAAAAAATTACTGAAGTCGCCAATAAATATCACTGAGATATAGGAAGAATATGGGAACATGTTCAATCACTAAGGTCAGAAAATAATTTTCATAGAAATATTTAGGCTGGAAGAGGGTTAAAGATAAATACAGATAAAAACATTCTGTTAATCTCTCCACTCCTGGAAATTATAGCCATATATTTTAATATAATAAATTAATCAGTAGCATTTGGAAAAATTTAAGTCTACCTGAAATTACGATTGATTAATTTTTGGCAGAAACAATATGAAGACCCCCCCCCCTGCCCTTCTGTACAATGACCCACATCTTTTATTAAGGTAGGAATACTGGTACGTTAATATCATTTAGCACACCACTCCCTATGTCAACTCAGCAAATGGTGTGAAGAGCAATGAGCAATAGCTAGCAAAACTGTATCTAAAACATCTTTGAGCTTTCCTCATTATCAGATATTGACTCAGATTGTTACACCACCATTAGAAGTCTACTGGATTATATTTTCAACATACAATTATAACCAGAACCAGAGATCTCAAACACACAGGATTTATCTTCTGTGAAGTTGCCTACAGAAAGAATGTCATAATCTTAAAGATATTTTAGATGAAGAACATGCACAAAAATAATGTATATTTTAAAGTCTTTACATGGCTTTGAGCTTCTTGTAATCAAAACCATGGCAGGTTATGCACCAAACTTCCTTTGCTGAATGTTAGTACCACAGTGATTGCAGCTTTGGTATTTTGTAAGAGAGGCCATTTAATGGTAATTATATGGTTCCATCACAGAAATTAATCTCCATACCATGAAGACTTCAGTCTTCTGGGATGGTCTCCACATAGCCCTAGTTTCTGTCACCCATTCCCTATATCCATAACATTTTTCTTTGCATGGCTTACTCTTCTAGCATGACAATGGAGGCAATATGCTCAGTCGAAACGTTTGTTAACTCTCTACTCTTATCTTACTGTTCACTGCCACAAAACCATAAGATCTCCTCTTACCAAGCTTAATAGGTAAAAGGTAAAGCTATCCCTGTAAAAGGCCATGGAGGCCCATAGGGTTGTGAGACATTGAAGGTCCCACATTTTCTAGACAATTGGCTAACAGATGGTAGTAAGTCTGTCAGTCCTATACACCAGCCGCCCTTTACCACCAGGAAGATTCCTGGTACTCATTTCTGCCAGAGGCTGAGTCGACCGCAGGGCCACAGTGTGGCTGGATGATATTAGAAAAATTGAAACAATCCACCTCATCAGAATTAAACCTGCGACCTTCTGGCTTGTAGCATGGTGCCTCAACCAATTACGCTACCGCATGCCCCACAAGCTTAAGAGAATAGATCATAATAAAAGTCTGGTTCTGGTGCACTTAACATACCAACATGTAAGAAAAGTCACAGTGGTACCACTGGCTTGTAATGGCATACAGTTTGCAGAAATCCAAATATTTTTGAGGAACATACCAACATCTCAAGGACTGAAGAGTAATCTAAGGGGGAAAAAGAAAGAAACAAGAAGCAGGTAGCAAGCATAGTACTTTGTTAGGTGCTGTTTCTTGCTGGCATCTTGACTGGCTTAGTGTTTAACCCTGATATTCCTCCGAAACATCAGTGAACTTCTACTGAACTACATGGTGTTGCATTCTAGAAGACAGTACCCTTCACGCTCACAACTGAGAGAACCACATTCCAGAAACTGTGTACTGTGTGTCAGATACAACACCATGTTACAACTCAAATTTTTGCTATTGTCAGATTTGTAGAATATACTTGATATCAACGGCTTGGGTGATCGCATGTTGTGTTGTAAGTACATACCATGGCTGCACCATTCCTCAAGCGGTTAGTCGCTGGCTTCCCACCGCGGCGGTCCGGGTTCGATCCCGGGTCTGGTGAAGTGGGATTTGTGGTGGACAAAGTGGCGCTGGGGTAGGTTTTCTCCGAGTACTTCGGTTTCCCCTGCCAATCTTCATTCCACCAACTGCTCCACAATCACGCTCGCCTATCATCTGGGGCTGGTACAATAGGCCAGAAGTGGCCGCAGTAGAAAGGACTTAGTCCCACCCCACTAGCAATAAAAAAAACGTACATACCATAGACATTGTCTATTGTCTTGACTAAATATTGTATCTATGTCTTCTCAAGAGGTGTTTAGGTAGAAATGTTGCAGGTGAGGGCATACCTACTGAAGTATGTCTCCTAAACAAGGGCAGCCTGCAAATCTGGGTTCAGTTCCAGGGCAGTTCTTGAGGGATTTGTGACACTGTGGAATGATGGTTTCCAAGTACTGGCACTTTTTGTTACATATACGTGTACATTAAAATAATGCAATTTCATTTTAATGCACTTAAAAATTTAGACCGATTTCAATTAACAGTGCTTGCTTTAGTGTGACTTGCTTGATGGTGATGGAGAGAGGTAGTAAAAAGGGGGAGTAGAGTACTGTGTGGCTTTAAGGAGGGGGAATATGTGGGGAGAAGGGAAAATTATGTTTGATTTATGAGATTTCACCTTCTGTGACATTTTCTTTCTTTTGGAACACAACTGCTACATAAAACAAGAAATGTCACTACTCCTGACCAACCAGCATAGTAACGTAACTTGGTCCTCAGTTCACATAGCACTTGATTAAAACAACAAAGTGATGTTTAGTTTTATTAAAATAGTGCCATTATCCAGTTTTGGAAAATGATGATGATAATAATAAAATAATATTATTTATAATGATAATAAAAAGAATAATACAGCCACTGCTCCCAAGAGTTCAAAACTGTGAGTTTATAAAGAATTTTATCTTCTGGGATATAATGCTGTGTAGTCCACTGAAAGTCAATTGACATTTCAGGAAAACATGTCACTTCTACCTTCATGATTGATGAATAAGTGGAACAAGAAACAGTGAGCTCCAGGTAGCAAGCAGAGCCTACTCAAACAGCTTGAAACAGGTAGAAAGTAGAGCAGGCTCTATTTACTACCTGTTTAATGCTGGGTTCTTGTTCCACTTATTCTTTGAGCCTGAATATGGAGGGGACATGTTCCTCTCAATGGACTATATGGGGTTATATCCCAGAACACAGAATTCTTCATAACCATTGCTACATGTGTGCTTACATTTCACTGTATAACATTCATTGCCAGGATATTTATAAAATATTGTTGTAAAGTGTTCTTCTGAAATGTTTCATAAATCTGAAGACATTCATCATAACACTGCTTCTGTCAGAGGCTCTGGGCACTGTTGGGTTAACTCTGGAATGCCCATCTGCTGTGTTACTAGTGCCACTTTGCTTGAGAAGCACTGGGTATTGTATAAGTGAACAAGAGACACACATGCAACCAAATTTTCTAGCACATTCTTATGAATTTAATCATTTTCATTCATTGGATTATGCATGTCATTCACTTGCAATTCATAAGCGGTCACTCCTAACACATATGTATATGAGTACATATACTGATATAACAGTAACTTGTATTGTTTGCCCAAGATTTCAGCAATAACAGTGCTTCTAATTGTAAGAGTTTGCATACAGAGATATGCTGTTCCTTATTCAATAATTGAATCAGCATCTACTATATGACTAAAGACTTCAAGCAATCCATACACAAACATTTCACTGGTCCTCCACAGTGGGTATGTTTGTGTAGAAACATGGTTGGGTCTGTCAGATATTAAATTTAATACCTGGTCCTCAGGTATAATTAGGAGCAAATGTAACGTTATGGAACATTCACCATCAGAAACAGCTGAAAACTTTATACCATTTCAAAGGGTTCTCAGAAAATATATCTGAACAATTTAAAATCAAATCCATTTCTTCAGGAGATTGTCAGGAATGAAAATAACAAATTGTTGAAAACCTTCTTAATCTTTACAGTATCTGCAAACACTATTTAAAGATTTAACTCGATCACAAAAAGGAAATACATGAACATCTCACTAATTCCATCACAGCTGAACATGGTTATAAACATCTTCATTATGATCATGCTTTGCAGTCTTACCCAGAAATAAATCAAGCCAAATCTGCCATTACCATTCTTGTTATGTTCCCCTTGCCTTCTCCCCCCCACCATTATTTCTGTGCAAGTATCTGTCTATTACATAAACTCAGCTACCACTTACAGTTTCATTGTTCAAACTACTGTTCGAGACCTGGATACTACATACAATTTCTGTGTAAGTACCTGGGTATTGTTTGAGACCCAGCCACTGTTAACAATGTTCATGTTAGTATATAGCTTCTCTTTCAGATTTAGCCATCATTTACAATATGTTTCCTAGTGCCTGGCTACTAACTGATAGCAGCCATATGCAATCTTCATGTTAGAGTCCAGCTTTTTTTAGACCTAGCCACTATTTAAAGTATGTTTCCTATTGCCTGGCAGCACCTAAATGCAGTTTCTCTGTTGAGATGTAGTTCTCTTTCAGGCCCAGCCTATTTACAATATACATGTTAGTAGTTGGCAGTACAATTCATGCTAAGACTATTATTTCAGTCTTAGTATTTCATTCTATTATGTCAAGTTATGTATACACAAAATATAAGCAAATAAATAAAATGAAAGTCTTGTTAATATTAATTATGAATCTGTTACAACAGAGACATGAAGTTTTCCAATCCAATTCCATTTTTCTTTACTTTTGAACTATCTGGAAGTAGTGAGTGGCTCATTTTCTGAAGTATTAAGCATATGAAATGTGGGTCATGACTAGTACCATCTTTTACTACATTCTATTAAGTAATACATACCTCATATTAAGGAACCAGAGCAGGAGGAACTTAAGCTGGGAATAAAATTTGTCAATTTTAAGACTTACAAAATGAATGAAACAAAACTAATGATTCAGTTCTTAAATGCTTCCCATATATTCGAAGCAGAGTTGTGGCAAAGGTGGTGCAATCTACAACAAAATACAATGAATTTCTTTACACTAAACATAACATCATTAAGCATTTACACTGGTGTTGCATAGACTCTCCTCTAGTTGATCTTTCCTTGACTGTGGAAATATTACTTCAGACTGCGTTTCCATTGTCTGAGGTTTCATCTGGCAGGTCTGCTCCAATGAAGACTGCATGTGATGATGGTCTGATGTGTCCATTGATTCGGACTGTGATGTAGGCAGGTCTGAGGCCGGGCTTGACGGACCAACTGATGTGCACTTTTGATTATCTGACTGGACAATTGATGGTCGCTCCTCAAACACTGTATAATCCAATATACAATTAAATACAATGAATGTACCAAACAGTTTCAGTATCAGACCAAGGTTGACTGTGGAATGCTCTGACTTCAGAACAAGTACAGATTATGGATGTTATAGGGAAAGATATACCAACATCTCTTTGGTAGAAATGATCATAATATTCCACTGTGGGCTCACATAACAGTTCTCAGATCCTGCATTGCTTCCACTATTTGAGTTATTGGTAATAATAATTGCATTCATTTCTGTACACACATCTTCAAAGAAATTTCTTTAGGAACTTATGATGCCTACATTCCATCAAATTCTTTAAATTACACAAGGAAGCCACCAGAAACTATAAATTAGCAAAGTTCTAGTTTCATGATGGTTTATAATTTTCATTAACATGAATTCCACTACATACTTTATTTTTTTAGAAGTGAATCTTAGATAATTAAAGCAAGAGACATAAATAGAATCTAATCAGTAGAAACACAATGCTCAATAGAAGTAAAATGTTGCAACAAGCTAGTTCATATTAGGAATGATAATATTAAAAGATAGCTGAAAGCATAATCTACACAAAATAGAACAGATGAATACAGACAAAACTGGATAAAATATTTGAATGAATGACATGAAGGGATACTGCAATAATTCTACAGTATAAAACAAAATAATGTTAAGAACAAGGAAAATCTTTGGCAATGATGGAATGAATGTGTGAACTCAGAAGAGATTTGTTTGCCTATACCATGAAATGAAGAAGAAAGTTAAAACGATTAATTTTGTTCTGAGTTTGTTGCAATGACCTGCCCCTCTGCACAGGACAAATTTAATTTCCCTTGCATTATATTAAAATTTCTAAACAATGTCAATGACAAAAGATACAAATGTAAAATAAAATTACCCCTTCCGTCTACTTGTATAACTTACATTTGTCAAGGCTAATAATGGAGCCTACGACATCACCAACTGTCATGGTAGCCTGCTCTTCAAGCTGGCGTCGTCGTCGCACCAACCACCAGTCCACAAGAAACAAAGCCAGCGCAAGGATCTTGATACCCGCACAGATCCCAACATATCTATAGAATAAAAATGACAGAACATCCAGCTTTTCTTACACTGAGTTTAGTATTGGTTTTAACAATGATTAATAATTAAATGTAAAAATTTAACCCACTGCCTTTTTTAAGGCACATCTGTATCCCTAGGGAGCTACAATTACAATCACTCTGTATGTACATTTATCTCAGAAAAGGGACACCTCCCTGTCGTCATATGTAAGGGAGAAAAGGATCTTACTGTGCTGGGCTCATTTGATAGGGTCCAGTGATCAAGACTGCATCTTTGTAACAGACCTAACTGAGTAAGTTCTAAAGGGTTCTGATGACAGTGTATAATACTCAGAATTACTGGGTTTTTGGATTTTGTCCATCATCGGGTATTCTAAAAACCAGAGAACACATACTATCTAAAGGACCCAACAGAGTATGTGTCTTCCTCCCTTCACTTGAGGATTCAAACAGATCCAGTTTCCAAAATGTTGTGTTTTCTAGTTTCTAGAATATCAGACACTGGATATAGTCCAAAACCCCAGTAATTCTGACCAACTGAGTAAGTTCCTTTGCTCCCTTACATCTGAAGGTGAAACCAATCCAGTTTCCAAAATGTTGTGTACCCTAGGTAACAGACAATGAACAACATATATAGCATCTTCACAGAGTTCCTGCAGGACCACATCAGTATAATAATATTCAACTGATGAAGATATGCTATGCCACAAAAATTGCAATAGATCCCTTCTCCTTGTCTTGCTGGACCTGAATGAACTGCTGGATCACAGGTGATACTTACAGTCTTTATGGTAGTGTCTGTTTACAATTTGGGCCCAATCTGTTTACAGTTTCTGTCAAAATATGTGAGTGTAGTCTGCATTTAGGTTACTCTTTGAAAATTCTGTGCTGACTGTTGGCTACAGTTTGAGCCTTACTTACTTAAGGAGCTGAGCCCTTCTTGAGGAGAAGCCAAATCTGCAACCACTCAAAGTCAAAGTCATATTGCGACTGACGGCCAGTCAGTCAGTAAGTCTTGGTATCGAGCACTCCCCTGAGGCTCATGACCAGATATTTATTGCTCCTCGACTGTTACCGTCTTGTTTCTGTGTGGCGCCCTCTCTAACGAGAGGATGGGTCTGTCTTTTGTATATGCTGCTGGCCCTTGCCAGCGCAGTGTTTCTCGGGTCCTAGTCCCTTGGGACTAGCAACCATATTTTACTGCCTCACATTTGAGAATTCCTGCAGCTACGCAAGAATTTTATGGAACCCGAAGGTTCATTACCGTGTTCACAGGACCCATCGACTGATCCCTGTCCTGAGCCAGATCAATCCAGTTCATACCTTCCCATCCTATCTCTCTAAGATCCATTTTAATATTGTCCACCCACCTATGCCTTGCTCTTCCCAGTGGTCTCTTTCCTTCTGGCTTTCCCACCAATGTCCTATATGCATTCCTCCTGTCACTTCATCCCCCTTCAGTACACAGTTTCAGCCTTGGTGATTTAATTACAAATTTGTTCTACACCCTTGCTATAATTTGAACTGAAAATTTGAAAATTTTGGGCTAATACTGAGCAATAATTTGAGGCCAGCAACTAGACATGGGGTTTGGAATGATAACTGGACATATCTGAGGCTCATAACTACACAGTTTCTCTAAGTTACACCTCCATAAATCACTACAACTACAGCACATACAAATTCTTCTGTTCGTTACTCTGTTATTACTAGTTGCTGCTAGGTAACAGCTTCTAACATTGGAGATTCCTCATAGCCAATCTTGAACTGCCCACTGACTGCTGCTGCTGGTCCTGGTTATATAGCTTCGGCATAAACTGCACAGAAAACACTGTGTCCTCTGTTATTGTGTCATTATATGTTGCTATGGAAAATATGTTTGCCATGCTGCTGCGTAGCCAGAACTGCCTCTACTCACTCCATTGTCCTGGTTTACAGCCTTCATGCCATGTTATGGTGTATACGTATTTTGAGACTGATCTGTAAGGACAACTCACTTGTATCGGAACTGCTCAATATCATATAGAAGGCACCGTCCCCCTCTCTCGCCGCACGTGCTCTTCCACAGAAGACATGTTGAATCAATCAAATTTCCAAACAGTATTGGCGCAGGTATATACCCAAACAGACGGAATATCACAAATTGCATCCCCAAAGCAAAGGATCGTTCCTCTTCTCCTACAGACCTGTGACGGAAAGAAAAATATGAAATAATAAGAAGATTCTTAAATTCACATGCATAATGCACAAAATTATTTCCCCCAAATTACCTTCTTTTAACACATCTCTTACATTTTTAAGTAAAGCAGCTGTCCCTGTAACAGGCTGTGAAGGCCCATAGGGTTGTGAGACGTTGAGGGTCCCACATGTTCTATACAATCGGCTCACAGATGTCGGTGAGGTTGTCAGCCTTACGCACCAGCCGCCCTTAACCCCCAGGAAGATTCCTGGTACTCATTTCTGTTAGAGGCTGAGTCGACCCCAGGGCCATAGTGTGGCTGGAAGGATTAGGTCAATTGAAAGAAATCCAATGACCTCGTCGGGATTCGATCCCGCGACCTTCTGGCTTGTAGCATACTGCCTCAATCAACTATGCTACTGCGTGCCCCCCCAACAAGTCTTATATTAATAAATGAGAATGAACTGCACAATATGTATATGGAACAGGGTGAAAATTGTACATTGAAATAAGAGTACACATCAATGAGTTTTGACAATCACGTGTGTGTGTGTGTGTGTGTGTGTGGGTGCAAGGGGGGGCAAGGGGGGCTTACAGGCTAACAGCTTCCAACTCTATTCAAAACTATATAGTAATAAAATACACTACAGAAATCAGATATGAAACTTTGTGATAATGGTATATTAATACAATTATTGTGTTTTTGGACCTTAACCATTCTCCTTTTTTTTTATTTACAACAATGTTTCTTGACTCTGTCTCCGTCCTTAGGTGAAAAGCCTACTCAGTTTGACTCAATAAACAGAGGTAGTCACTACCACCAAGACTAGCTCTATCTCAATGTATAATTTCTTCCATTTAAAACTTCAGTCAGTTTGGTGTTTCAATAGGACCGCCTCTGTGGGCTAGTGGTCAGAGTTCCTGGCTACAGACCCAGAGGTCCGGGTTCAATTTCCAGCGCTACCAGGTTCTTTGAGAAGCAGTGGGTCTGGAACAGGGTCCACTCAGCATCGTGAGGATAACTGAGGAGCTACTTCAAAGAAATAGTGGCTCCGGTCTAGAAAACCGAAATTAACGGCCATAGGGACCCACTGCGCTGATAATGTGACATCCTCTATCTTCTAAAGTTGGCACTACCTTCACCGACAAGCAGCGGTATAGTTCACTTGCAGACTATAACCACGGAGTTTGTGTTTTGATTTAGTGTTTCAATCCACTGCTCCACAGAAGAAACCTTAAATAGAGGGGTTCACTGTAGTCAAAGAAAATGGAACATCATGGGCAAGACACCAACCTGAGAACAATCATTAGCAGTGGCATCTGAGTGACCGCGACAATGAACGTCATGAAGAAGAGCAATATGAGGAATGGGAAGATGGTTCTACACGGGGAGTTACACGGACCAGCCGTAGCCACCGGAACCACCGTCACTTCGGCAAACTCTGCTGCGGCAGATGGGCCACTGCTACCACTTGTAAGCAAGCTGAAGTTGCCATGAATACCTGTGGAAAGAGTTAAATGGTTTACTTCACGTGATAAAGCACTCTAATTGCAGTACAGGTGACATTTCATTTTAATATCATATATTCAACACAGGACACATATATGGCACAACTGTTCAAACATTAGAGATATTAATCATTCAAAACAAAGGCCAATCACTATTGCTAGTGGGGTGGGATTAAGTCCCTTGTACTGCGGCCACTTCTGGCCTATTGTACCAGCCCCAGATGATAGGGGAGGGTGATTGTGGAGCAATTGGTGGAATGAAGATTGGCAGGGGAAACCGAAGTACTCGGAGGAAACCTGTCCCAACACCACTTTGTCCACCACAAATCCCACTTGACCAGACCCGGGATCGAACCTGGGCCACCGTGGTGGGAAGCCAGCGACTATCTGCTTGAGCTACGGTGCGGCCAGACCATGGGTTTGATTCCCAATGAGGTCATTGGATTTTTCAATTAACTTAATCCTTCCAGCCACACTATGACCCTGGGGTGGACTCAGCCTTTAACAGAAATGAGTATCAGGAATCTTCCTGGGGGTAAAGGATGGCCGGTGCATAAGGTTGACAACCTCACTGCCATCTGTGAGCTGACTGTGTAGAAAATGTGGGAACCTCAATGGCTTACAACTCTGAGTCTCCATGGCCTGTTGCAGGGATAGCTTTACCTTTCTTTTGCTTTACTTATCCAAACACAAGTCTAGAACTTCACCAGAAGACCACCATATTTGGTGTGAAGACTTCATTAATTTAAGGGTACGAGTATGTCACACTCACACAAACAAACGAATTACAGTAGAGTGTCAAAATACCTACAGGCACAGTTGGTGTAGTTGGAGCTGGAAGAGAAGGCCGTGCAGCCAGCATGACAAGGACTGAAGTACGTCAGGCCATTGTTCCCACATACTGGCTCCACATCTGTCATGCGACACTCACATCCAAAATTGCACGATGCTGTCAGATTCACTTGGAATGGCTCCGGTTTAGAACTGCAAAGACATCAAACAGTCTACATATAATCAACTAACAGTACTGAGGCATTGAAAAGGAATCCTTTACATTAATCTGAGCACAATGACATACATACGTGTATAATGTTCATACAGGGAAAGTGTACATGCATAATTAACAATCACAAATCTTATATGATTTTATATACAGGAATTTATGTACTTAATACTACAAACAACAGCCCGCTCACCTAGCTTCCATAATATGACATACCCCTGGGCATAATGACCTTCACAATTTGACGCTTAACAACAAGTATCCACATTAACTATAACTTGAGGTCATAATTTTACACTATATTGGGCATCTTAACCTTGAAAACCTGATAATATATAATGTTTTAAACAAATTTAATATTGTCATGTGTAGGGTGGTATGCATGACAAAAATAATGGGTTCTAGTTCGGATGATTGGATTTATTGGCACCTTGGTCACAAGTTCTCTTAATCACACTTAAATACAGCGCTATCGCTGATTTGCACATCTTACAATCACCGTTGCACATGCACTAGGATTCCCAGTTTTCACTAGTCATCTCCTGGCAACAGATAATCAACACAGAAACTAGCACTTCAAATCACTATGAAGTCTTCTTACTATTTCGTCTTCAATCACTCTGGAACCTTGGAACTAAAATTTCTTCTGGACTCACTCCTCCAGCTTATGACTGACTCATAACTGCCCTTGAACTAACTCTGTCAGTCCATTTACTTCTCTTATAAGCACTCTGCACATACCTCAGGAATAAACACTGTCTCTATTGTTGCTGACATCACCGTTTATGCTTAAGTGTGTTTACCGAACCGTTGCTTAGAAATGGGTTGCATAAACACATATGCTTTGCCACATTTTCTACAATCTATTAGGTATAAAAGTAAAGCTATCCCTGTAACAGGCCATGAAGGACCATAGGGTTGTGAGACATTAAGGGTCCCACACTATCTAGACAATCGGCTCAAAGATGGCGGTAAGGTTGTCAGCCTTACGCGCCAGCCGCGCTTTACTCCCCAGGAAAATTATTTATTTAATTCCTGGTACTCATTTCTGTTAGTGGCTGAGAGAACCCCAGGGCCATAGTGCGGCTGGAAGGATTAGGTCAATTGAAAAAATCCAGTGACCTCATCGGTATTTGAACCCGCGACCTTCCGACTTGTAGCATAGTGCCTTAACCACTATGCTACCGCGTGCCCCGTATCTATTAGGTATACAGTTGTGATATAATTCAAACAGACCTATTGAAGTACGGAATAGTCGTGCCGGCCATCTTAACATTTTCACAACCGAGGAAGAAGAGAAGGCCATAACATGCTAGGCAGACAGTATTTGATATGAGCACAAACTGAACTGCTCCTTTAGGCCTAAGTTCCAGCCGTTTCAAGAGGCAGCCACCCATGAAGATCCCAATGCATGCTCCAGGAATTGCAATGGAACCTAAAGTGGAAGAAATCATATTAGACTTAATATAGGATTATTGCTAACTAGTATACGGGCCACTGAGATTTCACTGGTAAATTTTTTAAAATAAAATTTATCAAAAATACCTAACCTCAATAACTTTCTGCTCCTATCTACAATTCCCATTTCCCATTTCTATAGTTCTCACAGATAACCTCTCCATTCTTACATACATAATTAAATATTTCACTGAAAATGTACAATATCAATGATGAAAAGTTGTTTTCTGCAAAGACATAGGATGAAAAGCTAACTAAAACACAGAAATTTCTTTCACTGTTGTTTGGGAGCCAATCCTGTAACTACTGCTACAGCTTTCTGGTTATATTCTTTTTGCAGAGGGGACTATTTTAAGAAGTTTTCAGTATCCTGAGTATATGAGTATATAGTACAAAACAGTGTGAGTAGTAATGAATTAGTAGGGTTCTGGAAGGAAGTGGTTGTGGTTTAATAAGGGTACTATGTCAGCAGTTGCCTACAGAGACTGGGGAAAACCACACAACACCTTATTTAGGACATGTGGTGGCCTGGCTGAGATTCAAACTGAGCACCTCCTGAGTACAAGTCTAGAGTCACCTGCTCAGCAGTCTCCTGTGTTGCTGCTCACCTGTGAACACACTGGCCTGGCTCTTTCCGAGACTGAATTGTGTCTCCAGGTACTTAGGAAGGAATACAACAAATCCTGACACAATGATGAGTTCCATGCAGGCACCAAGGCATGTAACTACGTACACAGAGTTGCACACGAGCCGCCACATTGACCGAGGGATGTCTGCAGGTCAGCACAAATACACATCATCACACAGGTGAACTTGAACTTAACAAGCTCATCAATCATAAATCATCATAATCATCATCATCACAACAACAACAACAAAGAATTCTGAGTACTCACCTTTAATATCTTTACCATAACCTGAATCATTGGTTTGGCCTTGTCCTGTAGCAATGTCTGTTGACTTTGCAGGACGAACTTGGTCAGGACGAGACTTCTCCATCAGTCGAATTTTCTCCTTCTCTCTCTGCGGAAGTAAGAGGAACCAGTGTCTCAGGATATGCTCCACACAATGCACTGAGTGTTGTGGTCAAGTGGGTCATATTCTAAATTCATATTCAGGAGCCTTGGGTTCAAATTTTGGTTAGGCTGCACCATAGTTTATCGGTTAGTCACTGGCTTCCCACCTTGGCGGCCCGGGTTCGATCCTGGGTCTGGTGAAGTGCGATTTGTGGTGGACAAAGTGGCGCTGGGGCAGGTTTTTTTTTATAATTTTCTTCAATTCCTCCATGCATATGCTGGGACAGCACTTCAAACTGGGGCAAGAATGCTTATATCCATACCCCTTTCAAGTCATTGTTTACTGGATTAATATGCTTATAATTTCATTTAATGATGCTGTGTAAGTTGTGTATAGTTTGCTTGGGGACTAAAACCACGGAGTTTAGTTTAGTTTTAGTTAGTGTAAGTTGTGAAGATTATATAGTGCTGACAGGATGTGAGAATGTGAATAGATGCAGTGAGTTTATTATGCAGTGGCCATGATATAGTTGGATTCTCACTATGGAGCCTTAATTCAATTCTGGAAGACTTCACAAGAGATTTGCGGTAAACAATGTGACACTGCCAATTCTTCAAGGTGAGGAAGGCAGAAAATGTACTTCCAAATTTACATTTAATCCACTTAAGATTATTTTTACTGATAGTCCTAGAGTATTCAGGTCAGAAAAATAAATTTTGAAAATATAATTTTAATTTTTGGTATATTTCTGTCTTCTCTCAGTTTTTATTTTTCTCCAAATATCCAGGGTGGTAAGGGATGGCAAATGACTGGCCCACCCCTCCTGCTGGCCCCAGTGCTGTATTGACTGCAGTATCTTTAGTCCTAACCTAACTGCCTGACTTCTGTTACAGCCTTAAGTTATGGAAATCTGTTTAAAAATGGATCTATAAAGAAAATGTGATATCTAATAATACTCTTTCTTACCTGTAGTGTCTTAGGGAAGGCATAGAATGGAATTGCAACCATTACAAGAAGAAGTCCACAGAGTAAAAATCCCCCCCACCACATACCAACCCATCTTCTATCACCAGGATCTGAAAATGAGACATAATTCATTATTTGAAAATTGCTTTAAAATGCCTGTCCATTTCATTAATGCACTGAAACAGTTACCAGCTCATCATTCACCCAGTGTCAGACCACAGAGGCCATATCAATAAACAATTCTGTGTCATTATGGAAGTGGCGGTTAAGTCACTCAACATCACTTTTCAGGAGAATATGAAACAAGTTTAGACTTACATGAAGTAATGTACTTAAAACAGTACTTCATTATGCAACTGAATACAAAGTATTGTGCATTACTGACATGACTCACTTTCAACTTGAGCCTTTTAATGTGGTAAATTTTGTGATGAACCTGTGAAAGTCTGATCTTACTCTCTTTTCTGTAACACCACAGAATTGGCAACATATTTATTTAAGAGTTTTGAGGTTAAGAATGCCATGTATAATAAAATTATGGTCTTGTGGGCTGTGACAGCATACAATCTCATAGATAGGTACCAATATACTCCTAGAGAAAAGTGACAGATTTCTGTGGCAAAGGTACCAGATTCAAGATTGGCTAGATCAGGTTCTTCTTATTTATACATTTCCTCATCTCTGACAAAGGTAATACAACACTGTGAATGTGAGACCCCTGATCCCTTGTTGGAGCCCATGTTAAGCCCAAGATCATCTATAATTCTGTCTAAAAACTGAATTCTTTATGTAGGATTTGAGGTTCTTCCATCCATGGATATGAAGAGCTCTATCTTCTGGGATATACATTGTTAGCAAACTACATGGTGTTATATCCTAGAAGACAGAACTCTTCTGAATTCTGTACAGTTATATGGTTATATGTACATGACTATAGAAGACACTGATAAAGTTTCATAAATCTGCACATATTCAATCTTGGCTAGAAAAGAACTGGATTGTGGGTTATTTTCTGATGCTGTCAGTAGCTAGACTGCATAGCTTCAAATGGTTGATTGACTGTTGGGTGATAAATATGATAAATGTGGATGGAAACAGTCATGGCCTAACTGAGATATTATCCTGACATTTGCATGGAGGGACCAAGGAAAACCACAAAAAAATATTAGTCAGGATAACCAAGGTCCCAGCTGAGATTGAAACTAAGCATCCTTGAATAAAAGTGCAGAGCATTATCATTAGATTGACCTGCTTAGTGTATCTAGAGTCTTATAATTTGTGCCATATTTTTTTAGTGTTCTTTCAAATGTGAATATTTGACATGTTGCCTAAACTGTTTACCTGACAATGAACACAAAGGCAGTCCCAAAACGTTATGGTTCTATTCTATATTTATGAGGTTCACTGCACAAAGACACTTAAATTAAAATCATTTTCTACTTATGCAAAAATTTATTTAAATCCCATCATGAAAATAGGGTCTACTTACATAAAAAAATATTTCAATCCTATGCCACAAAAAATAAATGCCCACAGCACCATCTACTGCTGCAAACCTACTGTCCCCTCTATACATCCTTATAACAAGGCAGTATCAACTAATGCAGCAGAACTGATTTCACATTAACATATTAAATGTCAACTCTGTCACCTAACAAGCTGAAATTTACAGTTTGTCAATACTGATCTTGGGAAGTGACAACCTGTTGCCACTGAATATGTAAATGTCATTTACTATCTTTAAAGTCATTATTCTGGTCCACATTCATGAGTTAGCTATTTGTGAAGACAGAGACTCACCAATGGTGACAATGGAACTGGAGAAAGAATCCATATGGAATGATAATAAGTATGCTCCCAGAAGAAAACCAAGAACTGGTCCAAATGCTGCCATACTGTACATACAACCTAAAAAAAGAAGAATAGAAGTCAGCTAAAAGATGATTTATCACATTCAAACATCCTGCATGACGCTTCACAGTGAAGTGTACTGAAAAGGTTGAAACCGGAATGTGTTGCCTATGGGAGGACAGATAGATAGAGGGCAGAATGATGTCATAACAATAACAATAACAATAATAATTCAATTCAATTCAATCCTTTATTATTTATGTACTGAGCCAACAGCCGCAAGGCCAATTACAGACACAGCACAGTGTATATAATAGTTATGTACTGGACAAACACGACATAAAGTCAAAGACTAATTAAAGATAAACACTGGAGGAAAAGCATAATAATAATAATTACAACAACAACAACAATAATAATAATAATAATAATAATAATAATAATTTGAATTCTTGTTTATGAACATGCAGACTTAACAGCCCAGAGGTCATTTACAAAGTTAGCACGAGTACTTAGAAAGAATTAGCAAAAAACTCATGAATAAGTTACAAAATGAGGCAGTTTATATAATTCAATTCAACTCAATTAATTTCCTTTATTTAAGTGCTTGCCAACAGCGAGTGACATACAACACGTGAGCATTGAGTGTATACATAACAAACGCTAGACTAAGGCTAGAACTGGATGACTAATTCAATTCAGTTCAATTCTTTATTATTTATTTGCTGAGTCAACAATAACAATAATAATAAACACTTGACATGATTAGTTGGGTTACACTAACCTATGTAGAGAGAAGCACTCTCTGGGCGGACATGATCATCTATGTACGTTGTGCCGAGGGTGAAAAGAGGTGAGCCTCCACAGCCCAATAGGAGCTGAGCTAACAGGAACAACAAGACAGGTCCCGTGGTGGAAGGAGAGCCCTGAATGCAGTTGTCCCCTCGGAGGTTGTTATGTGGTGCAAGGGGTGGTGATGAAAGACCTGAAACAAACAAAAAAGATCTGGGGAAAAAAGAATAATAAATTCACTGCTTCATATACAGGTAATGTATGAGTATGTATGTTAGTTCCAAACTTTATCAATTATATAAATGAATATTACTAGACAGAGGGATACCCAAATAATGTAAAAAAATCAGTGCACAGATTAGTCCTTTCAATTGATTTCACACCTCTCGGTTCAACAATAAATGCAGCTGATTATCAGGAAACTCCAAAGAGACTGAAGGAGGCTATTTGGTGCAAGAGACCAAATTACTTCTGCATGACGATGCTCGACCTCATACTGCTGCCAGAACCGTGTATGTCTTGAACTCCTTGGACTTGAAAATTCTTCCACATACACAAACCACTCCTCATTTGGCAGCATTGGACTTTCACCTCTTCCAAAAACGAAAATGCATCTCTGAGGTCAGCACTTCCACTCCAATGAGGATGTTCAAAACGAAGCCAAGAGATGGTCATGTGCCCAGCATGCATTTTTTTTTCCTATGTGGGGCTCAACAAATTGACATATCACTATGATACGTATCTAAACGGAGTTAGTGACTATGTGGAGAAGTAAAGCTAATATGAGACCGTACCTCAGCCTTGTGGGTTACTCTGTACATCATTTTACTTCGATAAAAAATACCATATGCATGGTACACTCTGAAGATCGCAGACTGTGTTGGTGTGAATACATTGCCCGGTGAAGTGTGTATCTACAGGGAATGACCAATATTGCTTTTGTAAAAGTAAACTAGACAAGAGCTTTCAGCCACTGTTCAGCTATATACCTTTCATACCTTGAACACATAGTTGCATAGTTCATGTCATAGAAGAAGTTTATAAAGGGAAAGTTAAGATGAAAAAAAATACACGGGGAGAAAGGGGAGAAGGAAGAGAAGAAGAAGAACAAATGTAACAGTTGGCTAAAAATTAGATGATGCAGAAGAGAAAGAGATTAAAGAGGGAGAAAGAAGGATATGGAGAACAGAAGAAGAAGAAGAAGAAGAGAACACTTAGGAGAGAGAAGCAAGAAATTAAGAGAAAAAGAAAGAGGAAAGACAAGATTAATAAGATTTAAACAAGAAGAGATTATGAAATAGGAAGATGATCAGAAGAAGATGATGAAGAGGGAGTAAAACAATGATAAGTTAATAATATTGTCACGTGTTCGTAAGCAGACATTGAATTTGGATTGGCAATTGGATTAACTGAGCACTTATAAATCAGAACTGTGTAATAATAACGCTCTTAGTAATTCATGTACTCTGTTTCTCATTACAACATACATTAAGTCTCCTCAGTTTACTGCATCTTCACCAGTCTTTGCCTGGTAACAGATGTCAGCAATGTTCACGGCTCACGTCGTTGCCAGCCTTCGACCATCTCACACCTAACTTCAAAGTCAGTGTTACATTAATGACCTACACTCAGTCGGTCAATTTGTCTTGCCATCCAGCCCCACCTGGGGTCCAAGACTAGATTTTTGTTACTGTCAGATAGTTGCGGGTTTGCTGATGTGGGGCGCTCTCTCTGATGAAAGGATGAGTCAAAGTTAATTTACGACTGGCGGTTTACGCCGAGCAGTTTGTCTTGGCACCAGGCCCCTTGAGGCCCATGATCAGAAATTTTTTCCAACTGAACTCTAATGGTAATAGTCCTTATCTAACATCCTCTCTGCCGAGAAGATGGATTTGTCTCTTATGAATACACTTGGCCTTTTGTCAAGTGTACATTTCGCACATATAACATGTTATTGAAAATTCTTCCTTTTGCACTACACACAAGTCCTCTGTCAGTACAGGCTTTACAGAGCAGATTATGCTTAACTTGCATATCTTATGCTATGACAACTTAGTCATTTGAACGGTCGTAAGCTTGACCACCGCCAAGTTCAAGCCTCTTAAGGATGGGTCATTTCTTGTTCATGCTCACTATATAGCTTCTGCATGGATCACACAGAAAACACGGTTTCCAACAGTTCTTCTATTGTTGCACACATATCAATTGCCATGATACCTGTTCATTTGCCCCAGAACAGACAGTGTGATCATGTCACAATAATATATTCTTACCATATTATAAATACTGCATTCTTAGTGTTGCACAGACCACAGTAAGTGACAAGATTAGAGTCAAGGCATGCCACTGTACCATGCAAGCAATGAAAGGGTTACTAACCTGACGATAATCTTCCCAACCCCATGTCTTGTTCTCTAACAGACACGCCCCGACAAATATTGTCGGAGCTGGAGTTGGCAAGGGTTGATGCTAGCTGCTGATCAGCTATGAAATGTGGTACTGTGAACACTATGGATCCAATACCCATCACAATGGAACCTGGAAACACGATACTGGTTTGACTCAAAGCAGGCAAAGTGAAAATTAAAAAAGCTGGAACTGTATTTGATTTTTCTATTAGAAATAATGCCATCAACATGCTGATCCCAGTACACATAATAGACAGACTGTGTGACTTTTTTTTTACTGTTAGTGGGGCGAGACTAAGTCCCTTGTACTACAAACACTTCTGGTCTATTGTACCAGCCCCAGATGACAGGTGAGGGTGATTGTGGAGCAATTGGTGGAATGAAGATTGGCAGGGGAAACTGAAGTACTAGGAGAAAACCTGCCCCAGCGCCACTTTGTTCACCACAAATCCCACTTGACCAGACCGAGGATCAAACCCAAGCTGCCACGGTGGGAAGCCAGCGATTAACCGCCTGAGCTATGGCGTGGCCAGAGATGGAATGACAGTCAGAATACAAATGACAACAGGTGGAAGTGAGGGAAGGCACACAGAAGGGAGGTACCTACTAGAGGGAAAATATGTGTTCATTCTTTCCTTGACCCAACTTCAGTTCTCTACCCAAAATACAGTTTAGTGTTTAAACTGTACTTTTCACATTATACCGCCATTTATGCAGAAGTTTCCCTTTTCTTACGGGTTTCTCAATGGTAGTTGAAGGGTACAAAGTGTGAAGCTTAATGGAAGATAATTCATGACTTACCAACAGCAATCCACACAGGGATGTGTCTCCTACTACCAAGATAGCTCACAAAGATGACAGTAATGACATTTCCAATCTCATATGAAGATGCAATAAGGCCTGACAAACTGGATGGAATTTCAAACCTCTTCTCTATAGTTGTAATGACAGAATTGATATATCCAGAACTCAGGGCTTGCTGAAGAGTCACCAGGAAAGACAACAGGAGTACAAAAACCTATAACAGAAACATACTTACAATTTTCACAAGGTCTGTCACAATGCTTCAAGAATATAGTATTTAATTTTCAATTTTATAATGTCTTCAAACTCTAAATTTTTTAAACTGGGCTAATATTCTAAATTTTCGGAATGTTCAAATTCTTTTTACATTTATGTGATATTCAATAATTTACAAGTATGGATATTTTAGTAAGGTAAAGCTAACCCTGTAACAGGCCGTGAAAGTCAATAGGGTTGTGAGACATCGAGGCTCCCAAATTTTCTAGACAATCAGCTCACAGATGGCGGTGAGGTTGTCAGGCTTATGCGCTGGCCACCGTTTATCCCCAGGAAGATTCCTGGTACTCATTTCTATTAGAGGCTGAGTCGACCCTAGGGCCATAATGCGGCTGAAACGATTAGGTAAATTGGAGAAAAAAATCCACCTCATCGGGACTCGAACCCGCGACCTTCCGGCTTGTAGCATAGTGCCTCAACCAACTACGCTACATTTTAAAATAAAGGTAAGGTAAAGTTGTCCCTGTGCTTAACTAATTAAGTGCTACGCCATGAAGGCGTACGGGAGAGTGGATGTATAGATCCAAATTTCCTTGACCTCTTCACTTTACCCCCGGGGGGTACCCATTCCATAGGAGATTGTGTGGACCCCAGAGTCAGTCTGGATGATATGGAGAAGTGAAAATTACTGACCCTACTGGGACTCAGACTCTGAACTCTTAGTCCTCCAACCTGTAGCCAGTCACGATAATACTTTTGAAAAAGTTTAGAATTTTTGACATTCCTAAAATCATTTGTGAAAATTTATGATCGCTTTGGCTTCTAGGTTATGGCAACATGCAGCAATGTGGGTGGAGGAACATAACTACTACAGCTCCAGACTACCCTGTGCCGTCCTCATCTTCGGAATACCTTGAAAATGAAGACAGCTGTTGCCTCCAAAATATAAATTCTACCAGACTATACGGTGTCATGTTCATGAAGACAGTAATCTTAATAATGAAAGGAGAGCACATTCATTTCCACATCATAGGTCATGTGTTTCTGACATGATTCAAGCCAACCATCACTAAACCATATAACGATACCTTGATTCCAGCAAAGCGTTGCAGAAAGAGAGGTCTACAGGTAAGAATCCCACAGTCTCTTGAATCCTGAAGCAATATTATAGGCTGAGATCTCTCCTTTTCACTTCTGTGAAAAATATAAGTGAAGTGATACTCAGAATACATAATCAATATGTGTGAGTAGACCTATGTGATAATGTACATCTAAAATATCTCTGATCGCAAGTCATACATTGGCAGCCTTGCAGAAGGGGAGTCCTGCATGTTGAATGAGATCTACGGTATGTCGGTTTTGGTTCTCACCTTACTCACTCATGGAGCTGAGCCCTTCTTGAGGAGACGCCAATTCTGCAGCAACTCAAGAATTTCCCAGCATTTTATGGAACGCGAAGGTTCATCGCTATTGAGCTACATTAATATGACCCTTAAAGAGAGTTTGGCCATACTAACCAAACTAACTAACTTAAGTTGAGCCCTACTTGGGAAGCCCCCAGTTGTGCAGCTATTCAAGAAATTCATAACATTTTATGGAACCCGAAGGTTCATTACTGTGTTCACAAGAGTCCTCCACTGGTCCCTATCCTCAGCCAGATCAATCCAAACCATACCATCCTATCCTATCTATCTAAGATCCATTTTAATATTGTCCAGCCACCTATGTTTGGATCTCATCATATGGTGAAAATAGAATCTAGTGATTTTCTAACAATATAGTTATTATCTATGTCACTGTCCTGTGATGATGAGGATGCATCCTCAAATATGATTAGAAGCTATGTAAACTCTTATATTTGCTTGTTGTAAATCGTTAGGCCATTTAGGTAGAAGAGTCGACTGCTTCTCCCATGTCCTTGTGCCAGTGAGATGTGAACTGTTAGTGGAAATGACAAACCCACAGACTGACAAATTACAAATAAAACCCACCCAGACCACAGCAGATGCTGCAAATGTTCTCAATAATTGTTTGTTTTGTTGCTGTACAGGCTATATTGAAGTCTTTCATGAATTTCATAGTTCTTTTTTATTGCTAGTGGGCTGGGACTAAGTCCCTTGTACTGAGGCCACTTCTGGCCTATTGTACCAGTCCCAGATGATAGGTGAGGGTGATTGTGGAGCAATTGGTGGAATGAAGATTGGCAGGGCAAACCGAAGTACTCGGAGAAAACCTGCCCCAGCGCCACTTTGTCCACCACAAATCCCACTTGACCAGACCCGGGATCGAACCCGGGCCGCCGCAGTGGGAAGCCAGCGACTAACAGCTTGAGCTATAGCGTGGCCAATTTCATAGTTACTGGTGTAACAAATCAGTAAATAAAAAATTGAAATGCAGTGTTATCACTGAAGATAAATTGAATATTTTCTTCCAAAATCCCTCAGGCACATTGGAATTCTAAGCTTCGTGTTTGCGTTGTTCCCGAAAAGGAACTTCAAAGCATAAATGCGAACTTCTTATGGAGATACCAGGAACACGTGCTGAGATCTAACCAACTAGCTCCATGGAGTTCAGCCATTTCTGAGAAGCAAAAAGTTGCTCAGCTACTCAATATCTCCCAAAACTTTATGGAACCCAAAGGATCATTACAATATTAAGAGCCAGCCACTGGTCCCTATCCTGAGCCAGATGAATCCAGTCCATACCCCAATCTATATCTCTAGGATAAATTTTAATTTTATTCTTCCACCTACGTCTAGGTCTTCATAGTGCCTCTTTCCTTTTGGTCTTCCAGCGAATATTCTGTATGCATTCCTGTTCTCTCCCGTGTATGTTATAAGTGAGCCCCTTGTCACCAGGACATAGCCCGTCCTCAGGTTGAGGATGGAGGAGACAGTAAGGAGTCGCGGACAGCAGACAAGGGGTGATACTCCAGCTTGAGGGTTGGGAGTGGGATTAAAAATTTATTACCGCAAAAAAAAAAATACGGATTTTTGCGAAATGTTACACACTGCCTAGGACTTGGACAGATTTATTTTCGTAGCGGCCAAAGCAACGGAAAACTGACATGACAATTGTCACATGTAATATGAGTTAGTTCTCTCTGTAATCTTGGGCTGAAGTCTTAATGATTCCGGTACTAGTCCGAAATTCCTCGGCCGGACTAGCCGGGAGGGGGGGGGGCGTAAGATTTTTCCGTCTGAGCGCCCTGACGATTTGCGGGACGCCCTAATTTAATTACAATCACTGCCAGTAAAAAACATGTCTTGAGGGCGCATCATCATTACATAATGACGTAGTTTTGTTACGTCATCATTAGGTCAATGGACTGTATTTTCGCCATATATGAGATCTCGTTGGAAGCATGGGGAAATTTCATTCTGTAAGGTTACCTACTCAAAGTATTACCTGCTTTTCAGAGATGATTCAGACGAGAAACTCCCACGAAACTCAAGGTGCCACACCACAGGGCGTCTACAAATTACATCTGGTGTGGGGGAAATCCCACTTCATATTTCTATAAGACCAAGTCGTCGATAACCGCCACACCTGGTCTGCAGGAAATGACTTCACGACTGTACCAACATTACGCCTGGTGTGTAGGAAATGCCTCCTTGAAATCGGTTCATGAAATAAACGTACAATTTCACGACGAGTGTTTATCTTGTGGAGTGTGGCGCCGTGCATATTGGCGAAAATTTTATCTACGTTTCAGAGGAGCGTCAATGCATTTATATCAGGGTCAATACCGCCTCATCCAAAACCTGTGGTCTACTTAACGTCCTTCTTAGTATCTCAAATCACATAGGGTCAAATGATAGGAGGGACTGAGAACAACCACTAAAACTTTTTTTTTAGTTTTGTGGGGTGGGGTGGGGTTGGGAGTGACTGAGTTCACTTGATATGTCGGTCATTGTCCCGCCCCGGATGAGTATAAACCATTTTGTGAAATGATAAATGGCAGAAACCGAAGTACTCCGAGAAAACCTGTCCCAATGCCACTTTGTCTGCCACAAATCCCATATTTTTTTACGGCCACTAATTGGCTTATTGCACCAGCTCTGGATGATAGATGATGATGAATGTGGAGCAGTCAGTGAAATGAGAACTGGCAGAAGAAACCTGTTCCAGTGCCACTTTGTTCACCACAAATCCCACATTTTTTTAGTTTGTTGGGGTGGGGTGAGACTGAGTTCACTTGGTACTGCGTTCACTAACTAGCCTATTGTACCAGCCCCGGATGATAGATGATGATGAATGTGGAGCAGTCAGTGAAATGAGAATTGGAAGGGACAACCTGTTCCAGTGCCACTTTTTCCACCATAAAACGTATATGACCTAACCTGGCCTCGACCCCGAGCCGCCGCGGTGGGAAGCCAGCGACTAACCGGCTGAGCTTTAGCGGCCTCCGTAGTCTAGAGGTAACGTTCCCACCTCATGACTCGTGGTACGCGGGTTCAAACCCGGCGGAGGTCGTGGAATGTTTAAGGGCGGAAAAATTCAGGGAACAAGTCCTCCGGGAGAGACTTTAAGCCGTGGGTCCCGTGTCGTAGCTTAACGGCACGTAAAAGAACCTCATATCTCCAAAGGAGGTCACTGAGCCAAATTCAAGGACGTTTCCCGCCCAACAGTGGTCTCTAATGCCTCTGATAGATGGGGGAAGCATTATAGATACCGCCAAGCTAGTAGAGGCCGAACTCGCTGGCTCGGTCGGGACTGATGGTACGCACCAATATCGGTAGGGTATAGAGACTGGTAGAATATCATAGAGGGAAGCATAATAAATCAAACTGGTCGCGGTGCATGGGGAAACCCACCCTCTCCAATAACTAACTAACCGGCTGAGCTTTGGCACGGCCACTAAAGCACTTAGGATAGTTAATGTCCTTGCAGAGATTCTAACCGCTACATCAACTCAAAGAGTCATATCCAACAAGACAGTGTTACTCTTCACATATTTGTATGCATAAAACTGAACTACGTATATCCTTGTCTGCTGGCGAAACCAGCAGTAATTTACCCGACCGATGGACCACCTTACCTGTCAACAATGCCCGCAGAAGGATTCCTGCTGTGACATTTGACAACAGTGTCATGGCAACATGACGTGGAGGAACCCACATTTGTGCCCAGGCTGATGTTCGATGTAACAGTGATGTTAGACTCGTTTACATCCTCTTCGTTCGACGTCGATTCGGAATAGAGTCCTGTCATGGCGTACATGGATTCCTGGCGTCGGTGACCATGCGAATGGCCCCCTGAACCACTAGCTGTTCCTCCCCCACCACTACCGACATTGTTGCTACAACCAGCCGCCATTTATCTCTTCTCTCAAGAAGGTGAACAGTCTACATTGGACTCCAATCAGCTCGCGTTACGCTAATGCGCCTCTGTAACAGAAGAAAAATAACATAACATGCGGCATTCAGCATTTCAGGCCTGGGAGATGATGTTTTCTGGACCTGTATCCTAAATCTTCTGTCCAGAAAGCTTCGTGTGTCTTTGAGACATTTTCGTCGCCTAATGCGACGCTGATTTTCATTCTTCCGTGCTTCTAGAACACCGAACATCTCTGCTGTGATCTTTCCGAGATGAAACGAAGGTCAGATCAATTGCTAACAAACGCAAAAGAGGCAAGACTCATGCTAACAATCTAAAATAACTATGTAAGCAATCTTTATTACTTCTTACTTAGATTATTATTTAAAAATCGTTTCTCTCCCTCATATCAAGACAAGCATGGTACTTTCTCATTTATTAAAATATTCTGAATGTGTGTCTGTATGTGTATCCTCCCGCGTAATCATCTGAATGCCTGTAAGCTACTCGGGACGAGCAGCCTCAAAGTGGGAACAATGTGATATGAAGACTGAAAGCCGGAGTAATGAAGCCAGAAAGGACGGCCGTTGCTAGGCGTAACAATCTATGTTACTATCTGATGATAATGCACGCTCATACCAATAGTAGTTAGAGTATATGATACTTTACAAGCTAAAATTTAATATATATAGAAGTTTATCAAAGGTGTTATTTTTTTTTTTGTAGAATTTACAGCAGTTGACATAAATTATTGATCTCACTATGACCTATGGCTTTTATTTAAAAGTGAGCAAGATTTTTCGTGGCTTTTCTCAGGCCCTCTAGGCAAATGTTAGGGCAGTACCTCGATTAAGCCGTCAGATCTTCTTCCAAATCATTTACACTTCATCAATCATCCTATCATTCAACCGATGACCGAAAGTAAAGCACAAAAGAGTTATTTTGCAAAGAAACTAAAATATAACACTACAGAATCAGAGATGATGAGATATCAGCAAAGTGGAGGGGGGATTTTGATCCTGAAATGACAATACCAACTTGGCTTCGGCAACAGAGATGGCTGCGTACTGACTGAAATAGATTGGCCACGGTGCTCACGAGGGCAGTAGCTGAAGAACAATGTAGAGAAGTGAGTGTGAGGTGAGAAAAGATGAAGTGGGCGCAGTGTGAGGGCCAAGGCAGCGACCGCGCTCACCTGGAGGAGCTATCTTTGTAATGAGAACAGCGACTCCGTGCGAAGTGGCGAGCCATCTTGCGAGGAGAGGAGATACCAACAGAAAGGCGAGAGGGAAAGGAACAAGATATAGACAGAAATACGAAAAAGGGATAATTAAAGAATAAGGGTAAATTCGAAGAAAATCGGAGGAAATAAAAGGTAAGGGGACAAGTAAATGAAGAAACATAAAAATTAAGAGAGGATAAAGGAGGCAATACACATCGAAAGCGGGACGAATAAGGATAAAGAAAAATTAAAAAAGGAAGACATGGAGGAAAAAATAAAAAAATAACACTGAAACATGAAGAGTGGAGAAAGAAGGAATAAGAGAGAATTCAAAGATAAAAGGGATATAAAGAAACAAGGATGAAAGAACAAAGAAGGAAACAGAAACATCAAGAGGTGTGGAAAGGAGGTAAGAAACGGAGAAAAGGAACGAAGAATAATAAAGGAGTACCAGACAGATGAAGACAAGCCTGCTGACTATGGCTACTGTTATTAACTTGTAAAACGCTAAGGTCAGACAATACATTAACCTTTTAACTACCTTCTTATCACACTGAACATGTCCTCTACAAATATGTACTAAGGGAGAATAAGATTACGAAAGATTATAGAAGGCGTATAAGAAATTTGAAAAGATAGCTGTTAAGCAAAAATCTCTTGATAGAACAATTTCTGCAGACGTGCTATATTATCTGCCTATAAATAAGTTAGTCCGAAATACCTAATTATGTAATTTACTTTAGCCGGTCACGGTAGCCGAGCGGTCTAAGGCATGAACTGTCTTCGCTCGCTCGGAAGCCGGGATCGTGGGTTCGGATCTGTTTCCTGTGAGGTACGGACTGAATTCTTATATATTATTCTTATACACTGCCGGTCACAGTAGCCG